GAAAAGAAACACAAAGTCGATGACCTAACGAAACTAAAACCCTAAAGACCAAAACCAGGTATTAAACCCCCTCCCCATTAGACACAGACGCATATCTTACAACATCAAGCTTCCCATAAACACATATAACTATATGTATATGATGAGATAATAAGGAAAAAAACACCATCGACCAAATATAACATTCCAAGCTCTGATGTTTAGGATCTGACTGTGCTTAGGATCGATTTTCCCCATTCACCCAATTTTAGGGTTTTTCAATATTTGTTTAGACAAAAGGGATCATTTAATTATTTTCTTAGTTTTTATTTTTGGAATAGCAGCCAATAAAAACATTATCATGTATTTTAAAATTTTGAACTTTCAGCTTTTGTTTCTTTCACCATTGTATTCATATTTTATTTTAATAATAGAGTGTTCTGGCTTCACCAAATTGATTTGGATCAGAGATAAAATTTAGCATGGACGCACATATGAAGATGGGTACTAGTTAGGTGAACACGATTTTTGATCTCGAGCACTGGAGATAACGCATGTAAAATGTCCAGTAACCAGTGGGAATCAAATCTGGAAGCCGTACTTGTAACTGTTCACCACCAAGTTATCATTAAAAACATAGTTTTGTCTCTTTACCGGAAACTTAAACATTATAAATAGTCATTTCCACTGTGAATTGAATCTAAGTGGTACTAGTTACTATCACAATCTTTTTACCATTAGATGTTGGTATATTAATATCATCTTTTGGACTTTTTCAAAAATGTTTATGGAGTAATTTGCCAGCTTTTGTTTTTCATTTTGCCTTTCATGAACTGTAAAAAAAAATCAGAAATTTGAACTAAGAAATGTGTTATACTTGGACAAGAAACTTCATTTCAGTTTGAANCAGCTTTTGTTTTTCATTTTGCCTTTCATGAACTGTAAAAAAAAATCAGAAATTTGAACTAAGAAATGTGTTATACTTGGACAAGAAACTTCATTTCAGTTTGAAACTATGGAACCCAACACAAAACAAATACATAAATTAAATACTAAACAACGAAGACACAAATACATAGTGTAGGAAACAACATAAACGGAAAAAAAATGTGGAACAGCTAAAACCATAATGGTAGTAGTTAGTCACTCACCTAGTCACATGGCAAGTGAATAACAATAGAATAAATAAATAAGATTAAAAGATAGATTATCTTTTGTTCTTGACTAAATCTTTTCATGATCACATCTGGTAGCAACGCTGCAGCCTCGATTGTATACATTAGCCGGAGTTTTCTTACAACCAGCTGCATTTGGGTCTTTCGAACTACATTTTGGTACATTGTCTGATCCAATTGCCCCGTATCCTATAGAACGTTTCTCACTTAGTTTCCTCGCTTCTCCCATTTCAATAAACCCTGATATAGTCATGATAATCATGATTACAAGAACAAAAATAAGAGAAATGTTATTCTTTTTTTTAAAAGTAGACATTGTTTTTCTTTTTCCTCAATAATGTTTTCTGTTTCTCTTCTTTGATTTTGCTTTAAGTTGCTGAGTAATTCACTAGGTTAATGACTCTTAATTTATAGTGAAAAGATCAAATGCTAAATAAAGATATGTATTTTTTTTTTTTTTGTTAGAACAGTAAAGATATGCATGAATGTGTATTTTTTTTTGTTAGAACAGTCAAGATATGCATGAACATGTATTTCTTGAAAGGTATGTGAATATGACAGCAAAATCTTCAAAGTTTACAGAAATCCTGAAAAAAAATCAAGAATATTCTGGTTTCACTTGCAACATCATGCTGAAGAAGAAAAAAAAAACAAAAAGATTAGTCCATCCTCCAGAGAAAACTTTGTTATTATGATGAGTAAACTAACTTTCGACGAGCACCACCAGGACGGCTATGTTCAAGCTTGATACGCTTTCCAGCAATTTCAGTCCTGTTCAAAGCTTTTAGAGCTGAATCAGCTGATCTAACGTCAAAAAATTCAACAAATTTGTGATGCCTCTTATTTGGTGTTTCCCTTATCTACTTTTGTCAGAACATCATAAATTACACAAACGTTAACTCATTTTGCAAGGTTTAGAGCGAAACCTCTAGAAAACAAGAGAAACAATAAAGAAGCATCACCTCCTTGACCTCGCCATAAGCTCCGAATATGTTCTCGAGGTCTTTGTTTGAAACTGATGGAGCCAAGTTGAAAACCACAAGAGTTCCTTGGTTAACATCTTTTTCCGATGGATTATCCTATAAAATGAAAACTACCATATATCAAAACACATAGTGTAAAGAACCCTAAAACTTCCAAATAAAAAGATGCTAATCATTTTCATACAAAACAAAGATAAATTAATATTTTAACACATGAAAAGAAACACAAAGTCGATGACCTAACGAAACTAAAACCCTAAAGACCAAAACAAGGTATTAAACCCCCTCCCCATTAGACACAGACGCATATCTTACAACATCAAGCTTCCCATAAACACATATAACTATATGTATATGATGAGATAATAAGGAAAAAAATACCATCGACCAAATATAACATTCCAAGCTCTGATGTTTAGGATCTTACTGTGCTTAGGATCGATTTCCCCATTCACCCAATTTTAGGGTTTATCAATATTTGTTTAGACAAAAGGGATCATTTAATTATTTTAATTTTTAAATTTTTATTTTTGGAATAGCAGCCAATAAAAACATTATCATGTATTTTAAAATTTTGAACTTTCAGCTTTTGTTTCTTTCACCATTGTATTCATATTTTATTTTAATAATAGAGTGTTCTGGCTTCACCAAATTGATCTAGATCGGAGATAAAATTTAGCATGGACGCACATATGAAGATGGGTACTAGTTAGGTGAACACGATTTTTGATCTCGAGCACTGGATATAACGCATGTAAAATGTCCAGTAACCAGTGGGAATCAAATCTGGAAGCCGTACTTGTAATTGTTCACCACCAAATTATCATTAAAAACATAGTTTTGTCTCTTTACCGGAAACTTAAACATTATAAATAGTCATTTCCACTGTGAATTGAATCTAATAGTTACTATCACAATCTTTTTACCATTAGATGTTGGTATATTAATATCATCTTTTGGACTTTTTCAAAAATGTTTATGGAGTAATTTGCCAGCTTTTGTTTTTCATTTTGCCTTTCATGAACTGTAAAAAAACTCAGAAATTTGAACTAAGAAATGTGTTATACTTGGACAAGAAACTTCATTTCAGTTTGTAACTATGGAACCCAACACAAAACAAATACATAAATTAAATACTAAACAACGAAGACACAAATACATAGTGTAGGAAACAACATAAACGGAAAAAAAAATGTGGAACAGCTAGAACCATAATGGTAGTAGTTAGTCACTCACCTAGTCACATGGCAAGTGAATAACAAGAGAATAAATAAATAAGATTAAAAGATAGATTATCTTTTGTTCTTGACTAAATCTTTTCATGATCACATCTGGTAGCAACGCTGCAGCCT